GCGAAGTTATTTTTGTCGATTTTCAACCGTTTGGAGTTGATGCTTGGAACAAGTTCCATTAAATTGGTAGGTGGAGTTTTTATTTCCCCATTTGCCATGGCAAAGTTTGGATTTGTGTGGAATAGCAGTCTCAAGCAAAACTAAAGTCAATAAAATTGAAATTAAAAACATGATCATGAAGCAATATTTAATGGTATAGAATGGGAAGTTAAATGGAAATAGAGAGATGGAGAAGGCCCTGAACAATTATTTAACAAAGTTGCCCAATACGTCATACTAAAATATGCAAGAGTAGAATATGAAAACGAACTACGGGATTGGATCAATCGTAAACGATTAATTGAAAATGACGAAAATAAGATGGGACCACCCAAAGAGCAAGTTCCTATAATGGCTGTTATTCAACAAAATAAAGAAAAAAAAGTCAGACTCGTTTTGGACTGGAGAAAAGCTAACAGAAACAAAAAGTATTGTTTGACACAACTTGGTTTTGGATTGGATGTTGCGTCAATGATTATGAAATCTGTTGTGAGTGCCAATATTGATCAAGAGGAATTAGTGAAGAGGGCAGCATCTGCTTACGTGGAAAATATTTTTTTAAAATAAGGAAGTAGTGAATCTTGATTATGCCAGAAAGCATTTTGAAAAATATGATATGGAAAGTAAGAAAGGTGAAAAGGTTGGATGTGATGGGGTTTGATTAAATCAGCGATGATTTTCATTACTTATTTACTAGTGACAAATCACCACATAATCACTTTAATATAAAATTTACAAAATAACCGTTGTATAAGTACTTAATCACCATTAGTATCGAATCACTACTAAATTAATATGCATCAGCGTTGAATCAGCAGTGATTAACATTACTTATTCGCTAAGGATCAGTGTTGCCACATCTGGATTTTTTTCACTAGATCCAGTGCTGTTTTAACCACTGGGCACATTGGACACGTACCGGGAAGCCCACAGAGTTCAAGGGGCCAGAGCATTTAAGTGAATATTTGAGAGAGATATAATTTGAAAGAAAAATTATTATCGGCCTTTATCCTTGACTTCCTCTCATGTTCCAGAGATTTTTAATCTTTGCATTAAAGCGCATACGACATAATGCAAACTGGACGTTTTATTTTTTTAACGACTGGAAAGAACTTTTGAGTTCAAACATAATGGTGAAAAAATAAATTTAAAATAATTGGATACTTTATTCATTGCTCATTCTCATAGGACTATCTTTCCGCGGATCAGACGAAAAACTAGAATCGATACGCAACGGAAACTTTATTGGATGTATTGAGCTATTAGTAAAATTTGATCCTTTCCTCGCCCAACATTTGATAACTCATGGAAACAAAGGAGAAGATTGTATCTCATACTTTTCTAAAAAGATTTGCAAAGAACTCATTCACTTAATAGCCACCGAAGTTATGGAATTTATAGGTAATATGATCATCCTTAAGTAACGCTCATCGTTGATTCTACTCCCAATGTACAAAACGGAAAACCAGTTGAGCGGCTCTTACCATTTATTCCCATGCATAATCATTTGGCAACTTCCAAAACAATTTGAAAACGTTTTGAAAAAGTTAGATTAATATACAACCAACATTCAAAATGGCTGTGGCCAGTCATATGACAATGCCAGTAAAATATCTGGTATCTACTTTGGTTTACAAGCAAGAATTAAAGAGATCAACGTTCTCGTCGAATAGATTCCGTGTGCTACTCACTATTTGGACCTTGTAGGAGTGAGTGCCTTAGATAGGTTGATGCAGAAAAGAAGTTATAAATTTTTTCTTCAAAAAATTTATAACTTCTTTTCTGCATCAACCTATCGAAGTCTTAGAGTAAAAGTTCTTTGCATTAACGCATCAACGCATCTTAAAGTCAAAGTTCCTTGCTGAAATACGTGTTAAGGTTCCCTAGACTTTCTCACAAACTCGTTGGTTAGCTCATGCTGATGCTTATTAAGCAATTGAAAAGGGTTATTCTATTTACAAGGTGATTAAGAATTATTTAGAAAATTGGATAAAAACATCTTTAATTTGTAGTTGTGCACACTTATTAACAAATATTTTCTATATAGGCGGCTCTTCTTGATATTAACGACAATCAAAAATCAAAATCAAGAGCAAAAGCCTTAGGACTTTTAACCAAAATGGAACAACTTGAGACAGCTATTTTAATAATCGTTTGGAACAGAATCATGGAATGGGTAACAAAGTTAACAAGAAACTGTAATTCGTAAAGCTTTATTTAAGTATAGTTGAAGAACTTTACAACTCCCTGGAGCATTATGCAGCAAGATCGCTCTAATTTCGAGCAATTAAAAAAGCTAGCCGTATCTTTGATCAACACGGATGAATAGGTCTATGTTCATAGGCTCCCAAGAGTACACAAGAGGCATTACGATGATGAAATTAACAGTGGGGAAACTATAGTGTTTTCTGGGCGTTTTTAAATGATTACAGACGTTAATGAGATCACGGACAAACTAATGAGTGATATAGATAAAAAAAAAGAAAAGAAAATCCATTCTATATTGAACTCTCTGTTTGATTTTCTTGTGAATCTCCGTGGCATGGATATTTTGGAGATTACTTGCAGTGCACAACAACTTGTTAACCGATATCCTACTGATCTTAACTTTCACTTATTGAACGGATGTCTTCTTTTTGGAGCTTTTTTCAGTAACGTCTTTTAGATTTTTCTTTCGTTTTAGAAAAACCGGGAATTGGATTCCATTGACCTAAAATCAGCATTTGCAAGCATAAAATGCAAACGAAAGGTATTTTAAAACCTATACTAATTGCAACGTGTTTTTGATAATAAATAACGTAAGAAGCTTGTTTAAATACAAAAGAAAATACATTATAAAGCCATAGCGCAATAATTACAAAGATTTTTTTATTTTAAACTGCTGCTAAATTTGAATGCTAGGAGGCCAACAGGGGCCAGAAAGCCTAAAGTGCCAAGAGGCCACGAAGTACTTAGCCCTGCTCTGACTAAATCTGGTTTTTTTTACCCCTGTCTAGGTTTCTGTTTTTTTTTGCAAAATATTGCCAAATCTGGGTATATTTTGTTTATGGGGTTTTTATTAATAAAATTAAGATTTATATTTGATTGTCGGTTTGCGCAAAATCGATAGTTTAAGAATATTTAAAGTTTGATATTCGAATTTTAATTCATAAATTTGAATTCTAAACATTAATTAATAAAATTTTACATTAATACTTATGTCAAATAATGATGCGTGGAGAAAAAATTGCGATGATTGGAGGCAGGGAACAAAAAAGTTTTTAAACTTCTTCCTAAACCCCTTTCACCCCAAACGTGAGGGGCGACATGTTGATAAAATTTTTGTACTATTCTCAATTAGACTTATATTCATCGATAAATTTTAAGTTTCATAATATTATCTCTCAGCATTTAAAAGTTATGACAATATAAAATTAACCCCGTGGGATTACATTACCCCTACAATTTGATGGGGTTACAGAGATATGCAGATACTTGAAAACTCCATAAGCAGATGTCCAGGTTGTCAATTTTTACTAATTATTTTTAGTATCTAAGTAAATTTTTATACTTTACTTATAAAACTCCGCATCCATATCGATAACTTTAACTTCTGCTCTGTCAAGATCTCCGCATCCATATCGATAACTTTAACTTCTGATCTTGACAGAGCAGAAGTTAAAGTTATCGATATGGATGCGGAGTTTTATAAGTAAAGTATAAAAATTTACTTAGATACTAAAAAAAGTTATAAAAATGTTTAGTAACTTAATTTAGTTGTTGTAGTTAATTTATAATACCGTAGCATACTTTTAGTTAATATTATTTTTTGTTTAGGGCTATTTTTAACCGTGCGGTCTTTACCCACCATTTAATAAGGATTATTTAAAAAACCACCATTTAATAAAGACCTAATCACCACTACAATCAGTATTGAACCGTTACTAAATCACCAGTGATGTGCCGGCTTTTACTGATTTTTTTTTAAAAAGGACATTAATCAGGGACAGGGTCGGCGCGAGTAGGTGTCACGTAGGGGGAGGGGGTGCCATTACAACTTTTGCCGACTTAAAAAAAAAAAAAAAGGTCCTCGTTTTCCAAAATTTGCCGACTGCCATTACGACATTGGCCGACTGTCTAACCTATATCGAAACTAGTCTAAAAGGGTCCCGATTTGCCGACTAAGGATCCAGTTTGCTGACTAAAAATCATTAATGGGGGGATGTCACACACCCCCCACACACACCCCCTATCGCGCCGGCCTTGATCAGGGACAATCGACGACTTACATTTAAGTAAAAGTAGACAAATAAAGATTAAATGTAAATACGTCAGTTGACACATAAGGATGAATACATTAAGCGATACGTAAGAATAAGCGTAATTAAATGTACATAGATTTTGGCTCAGGATTAGGGTTAAAGATAATGGGTTTTATGTTTTGATGTTTTTAGCATGGCCAAATTCTAAAATAGTTTCGTTTTTATAAGCAATAGCAAAAACTAATCTGTTAAAAAGTTTGTATTCAATGGAATTTAATCAAAAAGCGTTTTTAGTGTTTTTCAGACCAACGTCTTTGCACGATTTATAATCTGAACTAAATTATTTATCATAATTAATTATAAAAAATGAGGATAAAAGAATGTTGTGTTCGTTGATAAAATGCTTCAAGGTTTTTAAAAAGAGTTATTAACTTAATTAAAAGTTCAATTTAATAAAAACACTTTTGCCTCTAGTTTCTCTTTAATGTCTCAAAGAAAAAATTAGTTTATGTAAAATAATAATTAATTAGTATTTATTTGGTAATTTTGCATATTAAAATAAATTTATGATTTACGCTTTTTCGTTTCAAAGATTTTATCGCAGATTTTAATAAGAAAAACAATAAAAGCTTTTATGCAACGTTAACTCTTAATCAAGTTATTTCTTTGTTCAAAAACGACTTGTACATTTTGTTTTTGTTAATATAACAAGATCATTGTTTTTGTATTCACGATGCAATAATATAATATGATTTACGAGAATAATAGCATTTTAATAAAATTTGTTATTCGTATAAATATAGTTGTGTGTTGTTACATATGAAAATTAAAGTTGTGTGATTTCTTCAATGAAGTGATTGGTTTTACTCAACAATGAGGTATATTAAAATTTTTACTTTTGCCCAAGGGTGTGTAGTCATACACACCCTTGGGTAAAAGTAAATATATTATTATATTTGTTCAATAGTTCCACATGTCGATTTTAAGGATTTCTAAATATGTGTTTATCTTTGAATTATAAACTAATAACAATGATCTTATTAAAAAATAAAAAACAATACAAAACATATATCTTTTGTATTATTTCAGCATTAATGGCTTGTAAAATAAACTTCTGCACTAAGTTGCATTCTAAGGTTATTCTAACGTTTATCTAAATTAAGTTTTTTTTTTAAGAATTATTTGTAAAAATAATTTCAACAAATAAGATATACAATTTTTAAAAAATCAATGAAACATTAGCAGCTAATGACATTAGCAGCTAATGACACAATTTTTTAAAAATCAATGAAACATTAGTAATGTTTCATTGATTTTTAAAAAATTGTATATCTTATTTGTTGTTCAACCAAGATTAAAAATAGCTAATGATTAGCTATTTTTAAATTTATTTATACTAAATATTTTTTTAATTTATTGCTTATCAAATAAGGTTGATTCAATCTCATACTAAAAATGATTGATAATAATTAAAAAAACACGATGAAGCCCAAATGTAAAGTATTTTAGTATGACATTGGATTGATCAGATAAACAATAGATTTAAAAAGTACATAAAAAGTTCCAATTATCCTATTGCATTTGCTTCATTTAACATGAAGCCAATGTTTAATGTTTTTTTTTTAAGTTTTTATTTATCTGTGCTATACGCTCTAAATTTTTTGAATCTATAATATATTAAAGTAAATTTTTTTTTTTAAAGTCCTTTATTGTTTTAATGTAGTTTGTAATGCAAACTTTGAAACTGTCTACACATATTAGGTGTTAGGACTTGAAGAAAACAAACAACAGTGATTTTATTAATGACACATAAAATAAAGTTACATTTTCAACAATAATTTTAATTTAATCAAAATCAAAATAATAATAAGTGTAACATTGTTAGTAAAAGTATAAAATATTAATAATAGCAATAAAAAATAAATGGCAATAAAAACAAACATGTTTGCAATGTGTGTCATACTCATGAGTATGTATCCATACATATGAATGTAAAACTTAAATAGATCTACTATTAGACAAAATTAGATGAAACTATTAAATTTGTATTGTACCAATAGATAACTGAGAGGTTTGAATATTTTTTATTAGCGTGACTCTTAAAATACAATTTTTGAAAAAAAATAAATATATATATATATATATATCTTTTTACAACATCACTTGTTTGTTTAGTTAAAACCCATACTTCTAGTTTCAACTATGCTATGATATAATTTTCATAGAATGCAATATTGTATATATCAATTTTAAGTTCTTTAATTTAACATTTTCTGGTTGACATTATATATCATTATGGTGATAGAGGGTTTCTTTAACCATCAAAAAATGATACAATATATTTTCATTCATTATATTTCAACCAATGTGGCTGGATAGCTCAGTTGGTTAGAGCGTCAAACGAAAAGTTAAAAACCCTGACTGCTGTTTGATACGAGTTCAAATCCTGCCACCACCAACTCAGCGCTTGAGTAGTACTTTGGTACGCAAAAATATTGGTCAATAGCGGGCGCAGCTTTGGATTAGTCTTAATGACTATTTGTGGCTATTCGTATGCTAAGCCAACAATATCTTTGGATGTTGTTGGCTTAGCAAAGAAATGTTATATAGAAAAATATAGCATGAAAATTCAAATAAATAAAAAAATAATAATAATAAATAAAAAAATAATAATAAATAAAAAAATAATAATAAATAAAAAATGGCCTGTTGGATACCATCTTTGATTTTCTGGATTTTTATACATAATATGTGGCAATAATTTTAAATAACCCTATTTTTTTAATATCAAAGATTGAATGCATTATTGGAAACCAGTGTCCTTTTAAAGGGATGCCCAAGTGGTATTGGTGTAGTGCTAGAGCGCTCGCCTTATAAACAAGAAGTTCTGAGTTCGATCCTCACCACATCCCTGGTAGTACATTGATCAACTTGTTTTTCTGCACAGCAGCCTTGTTTGTCAAGGTTTGTCTTTTAGAATTATAGAATTGAGAGAGGGTTGTAACCACAATTAAAAGTAGCTTCTTTAACTGTAGTGACCTTCATGGCCTTAGGGAGGTGAATTGAAATAATAATAAAAAAAGTGCTGGGACAAGTTGTATTCCTTAAGAAAATGTTTTAAAAAAATATTTAGGGCTAAATTTTTTTGGTTAAAACTAAAAATGCATATCAATAAAACAAAAATTGTTGAAGCTTGCTTTCTCTATTATTTCTTGAGTCTCTATTTTTTTTTGAGTTTTCTTGAGTCTCCATAATATAAGCCACAATCTGCAGATTGCATAATTTATTTCATGGGCATTTAATTCCTAACAGTTTCAGTATATGACTACATTGTAGATTTTTTTTAAGATATTAAGGTATTTTTTATCCAACAATCAGAAAATCATTTGTATAATTTTTCACAAATTTATAAAAAATATTCTGGTATAGACATTAAAATGCTATATACCTGATGTTTTTACAATTTTCTTTACTCTAAGGTGCTTTTTTAATTTTCACAAATTTTTCCCACCCTATGCTTATTAAGACCCCCTATCTCCCATTAATTTTTTACTTGTTATCGACAAAAAAAAAAATCTCAAAATAAAATAAATAAAAAACCATACTAGAATTAAATTGTAAATTTTTGTTCTGCAAAAAATTCTCACCCACCCTATTATTAAGAACCCTCATCCCCCTCCCCTCCATATGCACTTTTTCCATGTGCTTTTTTATCATACTGGCTGTCGACACCATCAGTAAAATAACAGATTTTCTGAACTTGTGGGTATCCTTTCAAAATTGGTATAATTTTTGAAACATAACTAAATTAATACGAATAAAATACTGTAAAGCTGAAACTTTGTACAAGTGAACATAAATATATAAGTCACTGAAAAAATGCCCTGTCATTTGGAGCAGTGGAAGGTGCTCTTTTGGGCCTAATTAAAAAAGGGTAATAACTTTTATAATCAATTTTTTTTTTTTCAAAAATTTACTTTTCATTGTTGGGAAGATAATTTAATGCTGATTCATATTCATATAAGAACTATGGGTTAAAACAATTTATTTAGAGAATATGATTTATTATGTCTATAAAACAAATTATAAAAAACACACTAAGTAATAAGATTCTTTAATATTTATTGTTTTTTATTATTTATTTAGTATGTACTTTTGATAACAAAAACATGTTATGATATGAAATCTAAAAAAAGTTGTTTAAAACAATATATTTAACTTAAAGTAAATTTATCAATTAAATCTTCAAATATGTTTCTAATGTCATCAGTATCATCAAAGTATTAAAAATTGTTCATATTATCATCCTTTGTTTTCAAAGTTTTTCCTATAAAATAATATGATTTAATTAAATATAGTAAATTATTTTTCAAATATATTATAAATTTATCATTTTGGAATGTTCCATTGCGTCAAGCCTAATGTTTTAGTCATATTAAAACTTTTTTGTTGCAACAACTATCTCTTTGACAACCACCACAAGTGGAAATGAACTTAAGAACATGTTTTCAACAACTGCAAGTATTCAAACCACATTGGTTTTTTAAAGACATTTTACGATTGTATCTTATAACCCTTGAAAGATTTTGAGGTGCTACATCGTTATCAGTTGTTATTGGGATAAGAGCATTGTTTTCTTTTTTCCTTTTTTTTTACCAGAACACAGGCTTGGGCGGGAATGGCATGCGATCGCACTCTGTAACTGACCACGCTAATAATTATTTTCTTTATTTGACCACGGCTGTTTTATTGTTTTACCAATTTAAATGAAATTAAAAAAATCGTTGTGTTATGAATAACAATTAACCATTGATCTTTTTAAAGGTTTTTATTTTACGTGAAGGCTTTAATTAAATAAAAAATTAATTATAATAAGCCATTAAAAATAAACGCATTTTGTGTAAATTAAATATGTAAATTTTCATTGGTAGTAATTTTTTATGATAAATTCAAACACTTGAAACTTTTTTCATGTCTTTCTAAAAATCTTTCATAAGGTTACTTTTTTTAAATACTTTAAACTTTGATTAAGTTTAATTAAAATCTTCCCATTGCAATGGAATGATTTAATTGCTTTATTATTTTTTATTTCTTTTTTTACAAAGAATTGTTTAAAAGCTTCTTTTTTTTTGACATGACTTATTTTTTTGTAATTACATTAGTAAGTCAAGTCAAAAAAATTACATTACATTATGTAATGAATAAAAATTACTATTTTAAAAAGACTATTTTTTAAAATAGTAATTTTTTTGTTAAATTTTTTTTTTTTTTTTTTGCAACTTTAAAAAAAAAAATGTTGATACAATTTAAAAATATTATATTTTTTTAATTTCAATAATTTAGTTTCACTTTTTAAATAAACAACAGTTTAAATAAAAGTTGTTCACTTATAAAACAATCATTAGAAATATTTTGCAAAAGCGTTTTATGTAACGTTTTATGTTTTATAAAATGTTTCAAAAGATTAGTGTTGAAGTAATTTATTTCAAACGCAATTAAAAATATGACAAAAAGTAAATTTCGCTTTGAGTTTAAGTTTTATTTTAATAGTTTGCAGACTTAAAAATGCTAAGCTACACTGTTTAGCTTAGCGTTTCATTTTTTAGCGCATTTCTAAAATGTTTAAATCATCAAAACATCTAAACAGTTGTGGTCAAGTTGTCAACAAAAAAAATCATTTACGTGGTCAGCAATAGCGTTTGATCGCATGCCATACCTGCCCAAGTCTGTGGATAGAATTAATTAACAGCTACTTTATACAAAGCAAACTAGTACCACCTTAGGATGTACAATAGAATATAATGATAAAGGAATATTTCTCTAATAGTAAATATCTTAGTTTTATGGTACATAATGTAGATTATGTAAATTTATAACA